CCCGGGGCAAAGTGGGCAAAGTCGGCGGTCGCTATGTGACTTTAATAATGATATAACTGCACATGGAACTTCGCTTGATGACTCTATGTGACTTTAATAATGATATAACTGCACATGGAACTTGCTTGATGACTCATCGCAATGTTTTGCTGACCACAAACAATAATTATACAAGAATCTTTTAATTGAGATGGAATTTTACACTCTTTGTCTTATTCTGCCTTTTCGGCACGATTAAGTAATTCTCTACAGCAATCAATTGATTAATATGCCATGAGTACTTTGCATGTCTTGCAATGAACTTTGAGAAATTACACCAGTTTGTTACTCGTTTTCTGATTAAGAGAAAAAAACAAACATACAAGGCGATGTTGGCAGAACGTAGCCACCTACACAATCCAGCCACACAAACAGGGTACTCAGAAGGCACCCAACCAAAACCAAAAGAGGGCACGAAAGGGCCAACATAAAGGGTAAAGGGTTTTGGAAATAAGAAGCACGATGCGCATAACATATGCCGCCAACGCCCGAGCTTTATCTTGGCCAAGAATCGGTGCTGAACCAGGCACATTAAGCTTTTCGTAAATTTTCTCTGGTGAATCTGTATAAGATATCGCTATATAGATCATTTTAAAAGATATTAATTAAAATTGATATGTTATAATTTTTTTTATATAATGATAGAAAAATTAGTAGGCCTATTGAATATATGTTGCTCAGACCACTCTACCCCCTCTGTTTTTATCACTTTTTTAGAACTTTTAGCGCATGTGATTTTTCGGAATACAGGATTGATTTGTACCCACGGGCGTACAGGAGTACGCCTAATTACGCCCCTGCAGGTTCTCTCTCAAAGTATATATATCTTGAATGGCTGAAGTGGACAATTTTCCCCAATTATTTTAAAGACGATTCTAACTGAAGAAACTTGAAATATAGCACGTATATAAATTTAGAAGCTCAAATATCTAATTTAATTTGATATCTGTTTCTTGTTAGTAAATTCCCTGGCCAATTCGAAACTAATGCTTCAAAACTATACAAATGATTATATTATTTAAAGGGAGATAACTTTGCTGCGCGCGCTTAGAGCAACACACCAGTGGATCATCATTGAATAGAACATTAACCATGACAATACATTAAATTGCCCAAACTAAATAACGATGAATAAAAATGGAGACTGATTTAAGAAGGCAGGCAATTTTCTATAACATTCTTATATTGCTATTGACTCCTATTGCCCTTGTTCAAATCGCCCAGCTATCCGAAGTAAATTCTTCTTCAGTATAATTTAGGATATTTTATTGGAAGTGGCTAGCCAAAGGTTCTAGCCGTACGTGAGTCACGTACGACTAGCCTGGACCCACTGTATTGTCTAGCCGTACGGCACTTTTCAAAATTATATGGAAGTGGAACATGCATATGGTATTTTGTGCCTCATGATTATGATTTGTTGTTTTAGTTGTATGAAAGATGAATTTTTGTTAATTAAGCACATGGATTGAATAAATATTGGTCGGAGTGGTATACATGTGTATACCGTCGGTCATTGTCGCAATTATCAGAGCCCAACAACAATAATTTCGGGTTTTTTTTGTCTCATTTTAAAGGTGTCGAAAATTAAACTTAATGAAACAAAAAAGGATTATCATCAAAATTTTGTAAACTATTTCAATTGATGTTATTTAACTGCGACCAAACGCTATTTTTTCTCAACGTCTTGAGATGACAAAGATCAATTAATATTCGTACTTTTTTACTGTAGCCAACAAGGCAATTAATCTCTAAAAAGTAAACATACGAAGACAATTGCTGTTTCTTAAAATTCTCGCTTAAAGTCATAAAATACCATATGCATTTTCGACTTCCATATAATTTTGAAAATGCCGTACGGCTAGCCAATACAGTGTGTCCTTGCTAGTCGTACGTGACTTACGTACGGCTAGAACTTTTGGCTAGCCGTACGGGCCCATACGGCTAGCCACTTCCTATTTTATTTCCATTTTTCTCATTTCCGTCCTGTATTGAATTTCTACTTAATTCAGAAAAACTCGGTTTTGTATTCTAAAATTTTGGTTTTAAGTTTGTCTTGTTCGAAAAAAGAACAAAAACAACATCTAAGTGTGTTACAGTGGCACTCTACTGTACCCAAAAGGTTATTCTCACGGTAAGTATTTTTCACTCAACCCTTTCACTGCCATAGTTTCGGCGTATTTGCCATATGGACGGCTTTAGCCGTTTTTTTTAATAATAATAGTAATAATAATAAATTATTATTAATAATAATAAAAATAATAATAAATATAAAGAAAATTATGCCATCGACAATAATTATTATTATACTCACAGATTTGGAAACATATATGATTATTATAATACTAATAACAAAAAATAATAATAATATTAATTAAAAATATAGTAATTTCTTAGAAAACCCTCTGGCAAATAGGTGATCAATAAAACAATAACAGCGAAAGGGTTAATCTGGTCCCGATAATGAAATGGTAAGGGCAGGTAACCCAGGCTATTTTTCACTAGTCACTATTTGTACATGTACATTACGAACGTGTGTAAAAATGAAACATGAAAGGTTATTTTTAATAATATCTTGTCCATGTAACAAATGGAGTCTTTTTTTTGAAATTATCGATTCTTTCATCAATGCCAATAATCAGAAGAAAAAAACTGTTGTATACTGCGTTGTATTTACTTTTTCATGAATTGAGCAATTTTGAGTTGTATCCCTTGTTAAATTATATATATAGTGGGAAAGATAAAAAATGACAGAATCCCCTGTGGTCCATCCCAACTCACAAAAAATCATCGGCCATATCCCGCTGAACATTGTGTTAAGCTAAGCACTTACCAGATTTGGTGTCCAAAACGTTATCCATTTTACATTGACTCAAAACATGTTAAGAGACGGTTTCAATGTTGAATGACTTAATTAATCTCACTCATGAAAGCAGGCATTTAAACAAAACGTTATCCATTTTACATTGACTCAAAACATTTTAAAGCGGTTTCAATGTTTAATCTTAATTAATCCACTCATAAAAAGGATTTAAAATTTTGGGTTTAAAAAAAGGAATTTTGTCCCTTCAAAAAGTCACGAAAATCCTGGAATACAATTTTTCCTATACTTTTTCTGCCCCAGGGAAAGGCAGCAAAATTTCTTAAGTTTTTATTTCAACGTGAACATACATTTAATTTCAGTTATATTTATTTATAATTAAATGCGTTTATTAATTTATCTGTTCTTTACACTTAACGTCGTATAAGTCGGATACAGTTACTCGTATTTTCTTCGGAAGTGTCTTCTTACAGACGTAAGAAGATAGTTCGCTAGGACAAACAACAATTTATCCTCGGCTTCGCCTCGGACAATTTGTTGTTTATCCTAGCAAACTGTCTTCTTACGTCTGTAGGACGACACTTTCGAAGAAAAACTCGTACTGTATCCATTACTTAAGCAACAATAGGTCGAGGTTTAGCGACCATAACTTGAGGACATATCAAAATAAACACATCCCTTGGACAGACAAGGTACGTGCTGACAGTATCGTAATACAGTAGCGGTTATCAATCATTAACACATTAAACAATTGTAAATAAGGAATTAGTATTTATAGAAGGCATTAGGTAATAACATGTTTTATTTTGACTCAATCTGCATAATTTATTACATATTTGTATATGCATGGAGCTAAATAATTGTTTATATATCTGTGGTATATGTCCGCTATAAAATGCTACATGCTAAATATCTATGTTCTTCATACAAGACGACTTCAAGGTGTTTTACCCGCCAAACTGAGACCAATTTTAACTCCAGGGGCATGATTTATACATCAAAGTATCTATGGTTTATCACTATATCGCAATGAATTTGAAGAAGAAAACGTTTAAATGACGGAAATGACGTAAAAGACACGTTTTCTGTACAAGAATATAAACTAAATGACCTACAGGGTGGGGTTATTTCTGACCCCAGAAGCATAATTTGTAAACCTGTTGCAGATGTCTAATAGGTAATTCTATGTACCAGAAATATGTTGTCATATCCAAGTCTATATAAACTATACATGTGACCCCGAGGGCATTACTTATGTCACTTTATATAGGACTATCAGTGATGCTCCATACTAAATACCAAAACTCTTGCAATTGTAGTTTCTGTGCAGAATATGTTATGACACGTTTTCTATAGAAGTCAATGAAAACTAGTGGTCTCCAGGTAAAGACCTAGCATTATTAATATAACTTTTGTCTACTAGTCAATGGTACATGCCATTTATGTAAGCTCTGGACAAGAAGAATTCAACGTTTACAGACTAAGTAACCCCTAGAGTGGGAATAATTTTGGCACCATTTGCATCACTTACAAACCTTTTGTAGTGGACAAAAGTTTTGCTACATTGTCCAATATTTTAGCTGTAGGTATGTTTCTGAGAAGTTTTTCTGTAAGATTGTACATATTATGTTTATTTTTAACCCCTGAGACCAATATGACCGGAAACATTTATATAACTTTAGTAGAGAGCCACATAAGAAACATTCCATTCGAGTTTGGACAAAAACCACATCGTGGTTAAGCAAATGGCTAATAGAATTTGTTGATAACAAAAAAGGACAATTACAAGACACATTTCCATTACAAAAGCTCTTCTCTGAGCACAGAATCAGGTGAGCTAAGATCAAGGTAATTTCAGCCAAATTTGTTACTTGGAAGATTTTCATGGGATGTAGTAATAAGCAAAACACAAGTGTTTGTCACAATATCTATATAATTATCACGATATTAACATGTGAAAGAAGAAATAAATATATCAATACTTTAACAAACAACAATGATCAATAAACTAAGATTAATTACCACAAATATCTCACTCTTACAGTTTATATGTTTACATATATCTATAGATGTTTATAAATGCAATAATATGCAGATAAGATTTCTTTGGTAAACAGATTTTTTTCTCTTTTGTTGTATAATGATGATATCCTATTTAAAGATTTCATGAATCAATTACAATGTATGTAAATGAGTAATCCTAGTGAATACATCTCAATCATAGTAAAATAACAAAATGTAAGTGTTAGTGCAAGTATATTCCATGAATATGAATATAATAATTTCTAACAGGTCATGTCTTACAGTACCATTTAAATGGTTTAAGACAATACTCAATTCTGCAAAACTTATTGGTTTGTCAATGCTTTACATATTTTTAATGTACATATTTTTCATGTATATAGTCTAGAACTTTAATTAAGTTCATTTATTGATATTCTATTTTCCATTTCTTTATTAAATATATAAAATACTGAAATTAAATTTTAGATGTGCCTTAGTAAAGTAGCAGTTAATATCTCTGTTACATTTAAATAGAATCTTTCAACAAAGATATAAACTAATGCAACCTGACGTCTAGCATTTTGAATTCTCAAGACTATAACCCCTGAACCGGGCAGAAACCAGAGGTGATTGGCCTTTGCCATCTGTATAGAGCCGCGCCAACCGGCATTGACTAGACTCAACACAGTTGCCTTGTCAGACTCCATATTGATGACTAACTTTAAATTTTCATCCTGAAATCCTCAAAATGGATAATGGATAGTTCTAAAATTGTTAGGTGGACAAGTCCATTTAGAAATCTAGCAGGACAAGTGCATTTAGAAATCTAGCAGGTTAAGGATTGAGAGGCTTGTCTTTTTCTTGTTACTATAGAGGCAGACAAGTAATGTACATATGATATTAAAGATATACTATAAAAATACACTTGCACTGACAAAGAGATTAATGTATACACGAAATTACAAGTTATCATATTTTACAGTTAGTATAAATAAATATTCTCTCTAAAACATCTACTGATAACAATAACAGATCCAGCACAGGAAAACATAAAATCTTTCATACATACAACAGAAAGTTATACTATTTTTGTTTTGTTTTATGTGACACCAACACAGTAGAGGTCATATGGCGACTTTCCAGCTGTACCTCAGATGCCCCTCCAAGCATTATTTCAGGTACGAGCGAGCATCAGAGTAGAATCATCGACATTCTGTGAGCTGGAAGTTGTACAACAATCATATTCTATTGTCACTATGGATACAGACTTCACACATACAGGGTTCATAGCTACATCTCTAAATTAACTTTCAAGGTCATCATGTCAATAGCAATGTCATATCTTCTTACACAGATATAAACAATGTCATGCCCTCTAACACAGATATTAACAATGCCATACCCTCTAACACAGATATAAACAATGTCATGCCCTCTAACACAGATATTTACAATGCCATACCCTCTAACACAGACATAAACTATGTCATACCCTCTAACACAGATAATAACAATGCCATACCCTCTAACACACATACAAACAGTGTCATACCCTCTAACACAGACATAAACTATGTCATGCCCTCTAACACAGATACAAACAATGTCATACTCTCACACACTCATAATCATTCAAACTTTTACAAAATTTGTTGAATATAATAGACACACATAATACCATACCTACAGTAATTTGATAAATAAATTAACAAAAATGAGCACAAACAACATTAGCTTATCAACAATACTGAGATTCGTGTGAGAGTAAAGGGAAAATATTTACTTTCTCCTCAATAAGTGAATGCATTCCAATTTTTTTTTTTTACAAATTTAATCAAAAATAAATTTAATTTTTACTTGAAGGTAGTCAATGTAATGACCACAAACATACAGCCAGGTCAACCTCTGCTTCTTTTATGACCAACAACACTCTAAGCTGTTAGTTTTGTTTTTAATCACCTATAACTTACAACAGATGGTTCGAAAATTAAAGACTTGTCGGTCAATAGCACGCAAGAACTAAGAAAATAGTTCAATGAAAAGTATGAATTTCCATCAATCCAAGTAAACAAAACTCAAGCTGTAGTCAATATTAAGTATTGCACACATATGTTAGATAGTCATATATCTAGTGTTGAACAAATGATGAAGATATTCTGAATGTATATACTTTACAACACTTATACTACTTTACGTGCTATTTCAAGCTCTATGTACTATATATACACTATAACTTAATATCTCTTCTATTCAAAATAGATCATGTAAGGTAACATATTTGTCTTACAAACATATGCAATAAATAAACTACTTGGGTGTTAGAATAAGATATTTTTCTTAACAAAATACTTTAAAATTATTCAACTCAGACATATAATTGTTCCATATAAATTTTATTAACAGTACATTGTAGTTCTCATAAGTCAAAGGAATATTGTCTTATCTACTTAACACCTTTATTATATAGAGGATATTTGTTGATTTATTGTGTAAGATAAGATTTTATTTCATTGAGGGAGCTTTAAATACTCACGAATGGCTGAGACTAAAATATTTTCTAACCAAATATTTAACTACTCCTTTCATCAGTTTCCTGATGCTACAAGTTTTCTAAAAAATCTACAAAAATTATCATCTCAATCTTAGTACAATGGAATGATTCTTAAATGTAAAAAAGAATCATTCTGCTAAATGAAGATGGATCAAAGCGGCAATCAGCTTTTCTTAAGGTTAAATATGTTATTCCAAGATAAATTGTTTCATAAAATTGTCAAATCAAAAGAATTAAGGTGGAAATGTGCCAATAATAACATACATAAACAATATGGAAACCCCTCGCTACCTCTAATCAACTGGTCTGCTCTCTTTATTTACATTAGATAAGCAGACAATAATTTCCCGATCTTCTATTTTAGAAACACGTCACTGACATGTTATAAATAACTCTCAGGACACTGTTTTAAAGAAGGCTTAACAGTGATATGATGCACTTTTCCAAAAAAATATTTGTGAAATATTTAGTTTGAAACAAAACAGAATTGTTTTTACAACAGAAAATAAAAGATGAAGGCCGCTTTAAATAGCATTACACACTTTAACATTAAACATGTTATAATTCTGACTCTCTCAGACTCACACAAATATCATATGGTTACATACAGGGGACATAACTCTGATCTTGTGATCACATCATAATCTAGATTTATATAATGTTATATATAATAAAGTTCAAATACATTAAATTTTCTGTATGTTTATGAAATGTCACACTCAAATTGCAGCACTTATATTTTTAAAATGTTATAGTATTCTAAGATAGTATACTGTTGTCAACACCTTGCATGGAATAAAAAAAATACAATAAATCTCACTGGAAAATCCAAGGTTGGCAAAATCAACTGTCTGTATTGTCCAAGTTGTCCCACAGCCTGTTACGGACGACAGATTTTTTTTCACAAATTTTCTTTGTAAATATCATACAGACAAGTCAAAAATAAAAAAAATCAGAAAAAATGGACAAGTATGTCAAAATCAGATATTGCTAGCCCTGATAAACATACAAAATATCCAACTGGTAAACTTATACTATGATACTAATAAAACTCTGGTATCATAAAAATTGTCTATACTAATATAATTTCAACATACTATTAATGTTGACATAGAATTTATTCCAACAAAGTATAAGAATTTATTCCAACAAAGTATAAACAAAACCTAACATAACTCAAGTTGCCTACACAATGACAATCTTGATGTATCCTACTATGTTTTATGAGAGATGGAATATAAATATATTTATCACATAAACCGCAGCACAGGAGTGTAAAAAAGCAACTTCATAAAAACATTATTACACTAGTGTAATAACATTTTGATGTGATGTCATTTGCTTCATATATAAACATAGCGTTTAAAGTGTGCTAATGTTAGCGTTAAACTGTATGTGTGGCAATGAAAAATGACTCTTTTTATACAGTTTATCGATCTTATTTTATATACGTGATAAATAGAATATTACATTCGTGTAGATTCAATACTAAATTAATTGAACTTGATGAATAAAACAATATTATTTAACTCATTCAATAAATTCAGTATTAAACATACACCAATTCAATATCCTCTTTATATAAAAGTTCAAACATAAAAAACAAACTACAATAACTATATAATTACTTATGATGGAACAGATCTTACTGCTGTTATATAAATAGAGGATAGTAAATGAGTGTACGTTCAATACTAAATTTATTCAACAAGTTGAATAAAATTTTATGATGTGAGCCTCTGGCAAACATAATATCGTTTTGTTCAACAAGTTCAATACATATACATGTATATATACATATAAATTTTTTTCCAAGTAATTTAGTCGCCACTTCCTTTAATCTTAGACACACTATCAATAACAGCAATATAGTCTGAGTTTATACAAGCTTCTAAATGATGTATTTCTGTAAACAAAACTAAGACATCTTAAGAATGGAAAATGAAATAATAATAAATATCACAAAAAAATAACAAATATGCTAACAAGTAAATGTAAACAAAACAATGATATTATGTTTAAATGCTTTGCAAATGTTCAATCAAGAAAAATTATATATCATAAATCAAACCACAAAACTTAATGCAAATGTTAGTGTTTTCTTAATCAATTGTTACAAGCAAAGTTTCTGCTTAATTATACTAATAAACCAATGTCACTTAAAGGAAAAAAAGATACACACTTATAATGCATTTTAAATAAAAATAGGATATGTTAAACAATAACAGTGGAAATTTTTTTCTACTAAATGACTCTCTAACATTAACACTGCAAAAATTTACTACTGACAACATGTACAAACACTGCTGTAAATGTGGGGAAAATCTTAAACAATCTGGTAGTCTCTGGCAGATATTTATCACCCTGTTTGTTGACTTTTCCTGTCATTATCTCCCTTGTTTCAAATCTCCACATGCAGTGTTTATTTCTCCTCTACTCCATACTCCACCAGGTTGTCAAACGAGAATGGAACAAACAGGTAACCTTCACCTTTGTAGAATTTAGACTGGAACTCAACCCTAAATAAAAAAAACATTAAACTATAAACTTCTCTTAATTATATATTTGTATTGGACATCAAGTTATAACTTTCCTTACCTATGTAACTTTATAGGACATTTAATTATAAACTTGGATATTGGATATTAAATTATAATTACCTATAAACTTTATTGGTTATATCAAAATTGAATTTTTAAGTTTGCCTGGTAAATGTATATTTTTTATAAAAATACTAAAATGAAGTAGTCAACAGTTTAGATATGCAGGTGGTTGGTATACAATTAAAGCAACCAACAGTTCAGAGATATGCTTGACACAGGTGGCTGGTATATAACTAAAGTAGCCTACCAAGTGAATGACAGGTTTAACACAATTAATTTTTGCAATATAATTTATATACAGTACCAAACCAATTAATTTCTACATACAGTAACATACCAAAATAATTTCTATATATAGTAACATACAAAATAATTTCTATATATAGTAACATACCAGTGTAAACGTAGAGCGTGGAGGAAGGCTGACATCCCTTCCATCATTACTAGAATTATAATGGTTGCCATGGCCCAGAATGCAAAGCAGAAAATAATCATGACTGTACTGACAATAGAGGATGACATACTGAAAGCAACCCGCATCACCATACTCCACAACACTTCAGATAATTCTAAAATATATAACATATTATAACATTGCATGTTTGTAACATTGTTTACTATTGGATAGTTATTTATTTAAGCTCAATTGAAAACAAGCTCCTGCAACTCATAATAATCACTTTCGGAATCCGTTTCCTGGAGCCAACCGGTACTGGTGTTGTATAAAGAATAGTGATCACCTACTCTTTTGCATGTATCAACTACATATAGTAAGGGCAACTTCAGCAAAAAAAAAAATAGAAAAAAATATGCAAATTGGTCATTCCCATTGTGAAAATTAAAATGTTTCTTTAAAACCAGTCTGAATTTAAACAAATTTGACACATTTGGTAATTTATAGCATGTCAATAATACAATATAAATAATTCTTCTATCTTGAGATCACATAAACATACAATAAAGATGTAAGACTTACGGGCATGTGCGAGACTGAGAGCCCAGAGACGTAGGTATGATGCTGTGTGGGAGATACAGCCCAGACAGTACTCTATAGTATGTATAGCCTGGTTGATAATTATCTCACTGATGTCAAATGGCTGAAATATAAAATATTTACATGTTTAACTCTAACCCTGCTTGAAGCTATAAATCATTATATAAGACTAGTACAGACCATATTCTGACATCATATCTGTGCTGTCTGATCATGGTCTGCACTGATTGTTATTCAATCAGTATATGAGCCGTGCCATGACAAAACCAACATAATGAGTTTGCGACCAGCATGGATCCAGACCAGCCTGCGCATCCATGCAGTCTGATCAGGATCCATGCTGTTGGCTTACCAACCCTATTACAAGTAGAGAAACTGATAGCGCACAGCATGGATCCTGATCAGACTGCGCGGATGCGCAGGCTGGTCTGGATCCATGCTGTGCGCAAACCCATTATGTTGATTTTGTTGTGATGTGGCTCATATATTTTTCTTAATTTTACATAAAAATGATGAATGGGCTTGTCATGATTGACAAATGAATGAGTTCATTTAAATCAGTATAAATATATTGAACATACCAATCTACTGGAAGTTTTATAATTTTTAATTCTTACACTGAAATTCTTTAAAAGATTAAAAATGGTAATCAAATAATCCATGGATGAACTGGTCTTTCACTCTTTTTATAAAATGTTTAAACTTTCACAGTATTGCATTTCTGGTGAAGAATGTATTTTTTCAAAAACAACTTTTTGTTTACTAAATCTGATTTACTATTGCTATTCACAAGCACATTCTGTGATCAATATAAACATTTTTTAACAGCTAACTTCCCCCTTTTAAGGGCATCTCAGCCAGATAGTAAGATTAAAGCATAATAACTAACACATAAACACCAACACCGTAATGGTCATATGGCACCTTTTCAACTTTAATGGTGGAGAAATCAGTTGCCCTTTCGTGATTAATTTCAGGCATGAACAGGCATCTGAGTAGAACCACTGATGTTCTGTAAGCTAGCTGGATAGCTTCCTCACATGAAGGAATTCAAAGTCTCTGTTGAAGTTGGAACCCACAGCAGTGAGCAAGTAATTTAAAGTCAACAACCTTAACCACTATGCCACAGACACCCCTACAGGAATGACTGAATTGTTGACCAGACATAAGCACCAATGCACTTTTATAAAGAGTTCCTTTCAAGTCTAAATGATACTTTGACCGTGACAGTGTCTAAATCTGCCACACATTTATTTAACCATCCACAATTACAGAGTGATGAACTGGACAAATAGGTGACATATGGACAGACATACAGACAGCCATTTCAGAAACCATATGGCACCCTGTGGGAGCATAAAACAAGAGGGCCATGATGGCCCTGAGGTCGCTCACCTGTATATAGGCCCCCCACCCCCCAACATTGCAGGGCCAATTTAACCCAAGGGCTTTTATTTGCACAAACTCGGTAGACACCCATAAGAAGATGTTTCATGCTAAACATCTAAGCTCTAGCTCATTGGGCTTTTTGAAAGAAGATTTTTTTTAAGTTTTTACTATACACATATAGTTAAAATCAATGACACCCCTGGGGCGGGGCCAATTTTGACCCCAGGTCTTTTATTTGAACAAACTTTGTAGACACTCACTAAAAGATGTTTCATGCTTAATATCTTAACTCTAGCTATTTGGGTTTTTTCAAAGAAGATTTTTTAAGTTTTTGCTATACACATATAAGGAAAATCAATGACCCCCGGGGCGGTGCCAATTTTGACCCCAGGGCTTTTATTTGAACAAACTTGGTAGACACCTATTAGAACATGTTTGATGCTAAATATCTTAGCCATAGCTCTTTGAGTTCTTTTAAAGAAGATTTTTTAAGTTTTTACTATAATGCATAAAGGGAAAATCAATGATCCCCCGGGGCGGGCCAAATTTTGACCCCAGGGCTTTTATTTGAACAAACTTGGTAGACACTTATTAGAACATGTTTCATGCTAAATATCTTAGCTTTAACTCTTTTGGTTCTTTAAAAGAAGATTTTTTAAGTTTTTACTATATCCATATAGGGAAAATCAATGACCCCCTGGTGTGGGGCCAATTTTGACCCCAGGGCTTTTATTTGAACAAATTTGGTAGACACCTATTAGAACATGTTTGATGCTCAATATCTTAGCCATAGCTCTTTGAGTTCTTTAAAAGAAGATTTTTTAAGTTTTTACTATATGCATATAGGGAAAATCAATGACCCCCCGGGGCGGGGCCAATTTTGACCCCAGGGCCTTTATTTGAACAAACTTGGTAGACACCAATTAGAACATGTTTCATGCTAAATATCTGAGCTCTAGCTCTTTTGGTTCTTTAAAAGAAGATTTCTTAAGTTTTTACTATATGCATATAGGGAAAATCAATGACCCCCCCCCCCCCGGGGCGAGGCCAATTTTGACCCCAGGGCTTTTATTTGAACAGACTTGGTAGACACTTATTAGAACATGTTTCATGCTAAAAATCTTTAGCTCTAGCTCTTTTGGTTCTTTAAAAGAAGATTTTTTAAGTTTTTACTATATGCATATAGGGAAAACCAATGACCCCCCGGGGCGGGGCCAATTTTAACCCTAGGGCTATTATTTGAACAAACTTGGTAGACACCCATTAGAAAATGTTTCGTGCTAAATATCTTAGCTGTAGCTCTTTTGGTTCTTTAAAAGAAGATTTTTTAAGTTTTTACTATATGTATATTGGGAAAATCAATGACCCCCCGGGGCGGGGCCAATTTTGACCCCAGGGCTTTTATTTGAAAAAACTTGGTAGACACTCACTAGAAGATGTTTCATGCCAAATATCTATGCTCTAGCTCTTATGGTTTTTTAAAAGAAGATTTTTTAAGTTTTTACTATACACATATAAGGAAAATCAATGACCCCCCGGGGCGGGGCCAATTTTGACCCAAGGGCTTTTATTTGAACAAACTTGGTAGACACTTATTAGAACATGTTTCATGCTAAATATCTTAGCTTTAACTCTTTTGGTTCTTTAAAAGAAGATTTTTTAAGTTTTTACTATATGCATATAGGGAAAATCAATGACCCCCCAGGGCGGGGCCAATTTAGACCCCAGGGCTTTTATTTGAACAAACTTGGTAGGCACCTATTAGAACATGTTTGATGCTAAATATCTAAGCCATAGCTCTTTGGGTTCTTTAAAAGAAGATTTTTTAAGTTTTTACTATATGCATATAGGGAAAATCAATGACCCCCGGGGCGGGGCCAATTTTGACCCCAGGGCTTTTATTTGAACAAACTTGGTAGACACCCATTAGAACATGTTTCATGCTAAATATCTTAGCTGTAGCTCTTTTGGTTCTTTAAAAGAAGATTTTTTAAGTTTTTACTATATGTATATAGGGAAAATCAATGACCCCCCCGGGCCGGGTCAATTTTGACCCCAGGGCTTTTATTTGAACAAACTTGGTAAACACTCACTAGAAGATGTTTCGTGCCAAATATCTAAGCTCTAGCTCTTACGGTTTTTTAAAAGAAGATATTTAAAGTTTTTTCTTTCGGTTGCCATGGCAACCAGAGTTCTGCATGGAATTAAATTCTTTGAACAATTTTTAAAGGTGACCACCAAAGGAACATTCCTGTGAAGTTTGGATGAAATTGGCTTAGTGGTTTATGAGGAGATGTCATTTAAAGTAAAAGTTTACGGACGGACGGACGACGGACGGACGCCGGACGAAAAGCGATCACAAAAGCTCACCCTGTCACTTTGTGACAGGTGAGCTAAAAAGACATTCATTTTTTCCTACAAAACCAACACAAAATCTTATGTATAAAAAGGCTACCTAAAATAATGAAACTAAATAAACATAATAATAAACTTTTAAAAATATGACAGAACTGAAAATCAATGACTAAAGCTACAATAAGTCATATGCAAGGTTTAAACTATGAAATAAGCCGCGCCATGACAAAACCAACATAATGGGTTTGTAAGCGAACAGCATAGGTCCTGATCAGACTGCGCAGATGCGCAGGCTGGTCTGGATCCATGCTGGTCGCAAACCCATTATGTTGGTTTTGTTGTGATGCGGCTAAAATATTAAATAAACACTCATCCATCAATGTGTTATTTTAAAAAACATTTGAATATGAAATTATTCTCAATATTGAATAAATTTATATGCAGTGGAGGTATTTTCAACTTGTCTTCCTTTAACTTGCACATATAAATTATAATTCTCTTCTATACACATAGAAGATTTATTTTAGAAAGTTAAAACCTTCAATATACATCAATCATGGGTAAAAAGTACTTTTTCTAATTTTTTTTTGGACATAACCTCCCTTTATTGAATTCATTTTTGATAGTACATCCTTTACTAACTCCACCCTTTACTAACTTCATAATCTTGATATTCCCTCCCTTTAATAAATTCACTTCTAATATAACCTCCCTTTACTAAATTCAATTTTGACATTCTATCCATTTAACCCATTAATGCATGAGAGTTTTGTGAAAAAATGGCTGTTTTTGTTGAAAAGCCTCCTGTTACAAGTTCAAATTGCTATGAATTTACAGGAACATAGTCTTTGTAATGGCATGCTCAATCTAAAATTTCCTGTTACCATGGAAACGAGTGTACATCTCAAAATTGCCAAAAATTACTGTTTTGTGTTGATTTTTTCCATCAAAACTGATTCCAAAGTGCTGCAACTTCTCACTGAATTGAGATAGAGTCAAAGGCTTTTAGCATTAGTTACATATACCTTAAGATTGACCTGAGGCCAATATTAGCCTCTCACAAGTCCAAAATCTTCTTGCATCCCCTCTTCAAAACCCTAAGGAGATTTAAGTGGCACATCCCCCCTCTGGCACCCCCATGATATATCTTTTTGATAAGGGATGGTGCCGAAAAAGTGATCACTTTTTTAACAACATCTCTCAAACAAAAACAAGTGTTTGGGGTCTACATAGGGCATTTTATTCACTATTTGAGGCCTCAAAAAGGGGGGGGGGGGAGTGAAAAGATGTCTATATGAAGGAAAGGGTTAATTTATTCACTTTTGATATAACCTTCTTACTGAATTTATTTTCTCTAAT